CCAGCCAGGGAAAGCCCCACCCACAATGGGTGGGGACCTCTCCATCAATCACTAATTAAGAAAATGCCCTGCAGCCAGATCTTAAGGAGGCATCTTCTCAATTGAGGTCTCCTCCTTTCAGATAACTCTAGCTTGTGTCAAGTTGGCAAGAGACGAATCGGCACAATGTTACTGCGGGAAATCAGGGTTCTCTCTTTGTGGTTTTAGTCATTAATGAACAAATTGAAAAAAAAGACTCAATAGCAAGTTTGGGGATAATTTTATTAGAGTTTGAGAAGAAGCCACCAGGAAGGCCATCTGACTATCTTGACAATCACTAGGAGGAGGGATATGGAGAAAAGGAAGAGTAAAGGTCAAATCTTTAAGGTCAGGCTGGCATGTTAGCAATGGAGGTCAGGAAGCAGCCACATGACAGTGAACAACTGCATGGAGTCAGGAGGATAGCTTCAGAGAAAGAAAGGGGAAGCTCAGAGTGTCAGATACAGACAAACAAAAAACGTGACTAGTCTTTGTGTAGTACCCACACACAAACAAGAAAAGAGTAAACAAGGAAAGTTATGCTTTTTTGAGTTAGGACTTAGTCAAGAGGGATGACGTAGCAGAGCCGCATGGCAGTGGTTCCCTAACTACTGCATGAAGGGCAGGGCTTCTGGGAAGGAAAGTACATTATCTCATTAAGGGGATAATTGCTCTTCCCATCTATTTAGCTTGGCTTTGGGTGAACCAGCCTACCCTAGAAGTGGTTTCTTAGGCAGGTGGTTGACATTCCAGCTGGGTTAACTTTTAGGGGAGGAGTCAGTCTTCTATAAAGTTTGAATCACGCTTTGAGCATGCCGTGTGTCTACCTGAGCCTAGAGGTATTCCACCAGGGAGGCTTCCATCCTCAATGGCCTCTAAGACTCTTATAGCACCGAGTTGGTAGTAGAACTTAGCAGTGTCTTCTGTTTTCATGCTATTGCTTTTTCTTTTTCAGGCATGAAAGATGCATACAAGAATGAGGGGGTAATGGAAAATTATGCCATGGTTCAAGAAAGCTGGTGATGCAAGGCAATTTGTAGCAGGGACAAAGTCTATGCAAGAAAGATCCTAGATGCCATTGCCTTAAGCTGAGAAAGTGACCCCTAGAAGATCCTAAGATGTTAGAAATGCCAGGACAATTGAACATCTGCTAAGAAAAGCTGCAGGCATAGAGTGGAGACAGTCAAATAAAGGCAATGTGGGCTATGGGCAGTAAGAGTAGAGTGTCCTAGAGGACTGTTGGGGCCTAGAGGATTCTGTCATTCACCCTGAATAGTGATCACAGACCTGCAGAATGTGGTATTTTTACATCCTGGGTTTGGTTTTGTTTCAGTCTGATCTTTGTTTACTATCCTCCCACTCTTCCCTTTTGGAATTAAATAGGGATGCTTATTGTCTGTGATTGCATGCTGGACATATGTAATTTAAAATAGTACAGGAGGTCATAGTTATGGATCACCTCGATTATCAGAATAAACTTTGCATTTTGACCTTTCAACAGTGTTAGGAGGAGTAAAGACTATCATAGACCATTAGAGGTGAACTAAATATGTTTTGCATTGAGATGAAAATGAGACATCAAGAGAAAGGAGTGGAATATTATGATTTAAAATGATGTGTTTGAGTGTCAAGTTTACAGGGGTGGAGATGTGATAGCTAACCTTTATTGCCTATTTGGTTGGACTTAAAAAAGCTATAAAAATATACCTCTGGCTCCCTATGAGAATCTTTTCAAAAAGGATTCACTGAAGAAGGGATCCTCTTCCAAATTTAGGGAGCATCATTAAATTGGCTGCATACCCATACTGAAGAAAGTATGGTTAATGCATCTCTGTTTCCTGATCTCAGGCACAGTGTGACCAGCCACCTCATGTTCCTGTAACATGCCTGTCTTGCCATGATGGAATTATAATCTCAAATCCCGAGCCAGCAGAAACTCTTCCTTCTGTAAGGTGCTTTTGTCAGATATGAAGTCATGATGGAGAGCAATATAACTAACACAATGGCCAACCTACTCTGTGGGGGACAGAAGTGAGCATGGAGTTGGAGGAAATACTACATGACTTGCAAATAACTAGGAAAGTACATACACACATCAACAATCATACATTATATACATGATATACATATATGAACATGCATTTAAACTTTAATTTAATTATACATTAAATGCATAAAATACAGTTATTATGTGTGTGCATACAATATAATCAGTCTGTATAATGTTATGAATATGTTTCCAGATTTGACCATTTGGTATAGGATAACCAATTCATATGTTCTTCCCTGGAAAGACTATTGCTCCTGTTCCTTAGTTCCCTGTAGTTCTATGAATGATATGGAAGCCTCATAGTATTTCCTTCATGCACTTTGGCATGCTATATTGTCCTTGTTATTCTTGTTCTGTTAGTGTTTAGACAGTCATGTTGGTAAGACTTTATGGGTGTGGCTTCTAGCAGTCCTAGAAAACAAAAGCTCACAGCAAACTCCCTGTTCCTCTGGCACTTGCAATATTTTGCCTTTTCCTCCAAAATGATCCCTGAGCCGTAGCTGAGGGAGGTGTATTATAGATGTACACCTTAGGACTAGGCTCCACAAATCTGCATTTTGATTAGTTGTAGTTTTTTGTAATGGCCTCTGTCTACTGCAAAAAGAAGTTTCCTTGATTTGGGCCATACTTTTAATTTTAAAATATTTTATGCATATGAGTGTTTTGTCTGCTTAAATGGTACCATATGCATGCCTGGTATCCATGGAGGTCAGAAGAGTGTGTCAGATCCCCTAGAAGTAGAGCTACAGATGATTATGAGACACCATATGGGTCCTCTGCAAGAGCAAGTACTCTTAACTGCTGAGCCATCTATCCCACCTTATGCTTTAATCGGTATTGTCACTGTACATAGCAGGTATTTTTTAAAAACACCATATTTTTGTACTACTGAGCTGAATATTAGTATCATTTGTTTCTTTGAAGAAACTTACCTATGAGTCACTTTCATAATTTAGTTTCATCTGGTTTAAAACATGGTTGACTTGCTTAATTATTCTGTTGAATTTGGACCTGACCTCTTTCCCTCTTCTCCTTACCCCTGGGGTTAAGTTGGTTTCTGCATGCGTTTCTGTGCAGTGGCAGCATTGGAAGCAGACCTCAGCATGAGGCTCCATAGGCACACACCCTGAGAAGGTAGAGCTCCACAGGGCACTGCTGTTTCCCTCTGGACACTGGCTGCTGACAGCTGAGCCCTCTTTACTCAGGCCTTTCTTACCTCAGTCATGGGCAGTGAGTGATGTCATCAGAATGAGGGCTTGTCCCACCATGAAAGAATTAGCCACCTATGCCTAACTCTCTGTGCCAGTCCCTCAAGAGCTGAGCCCTGTTGATAGCCCCAGATAAGTCACAAGCCTGGTCTAGGGGAAATGGGTGGGAAAAGAACGATTTCCCTATTCTGTACTACGTTACTACTTCAAAGGTAGAGCTTGGGCTCTTCTAAACCATGAAATAGTCTTGGACTGTGAATAACCCAAAATGGAAAATGTCCTCTTGAGCCAGAGCAGGACTGAATGATCTTTCTGCTAACCCACTGCAGCCAATCTCAGCTCCTGAAGAGCCTAGGAAAACATACAATAGTCTGTATGCCACTCAGGGGAGTGTGACAGCAATGGCACAGAACCCAGAGGCTATCTGTCTGCTACAAGTCTGCAGGGCACATCCTAGACCTGTCAGCCTCAGGCAAGCTAAGGAAGAGGGTGGGTTGGCTTGAGAGCAAGTGCACTTAGGCAGGATTGGACATGAGTTACCCCAGGTGTAGACACCCAGTAGGGACAAATGTAGGGGCAGAGGCTAAAGGCCAGAGGTCTCCAGGCTGACCTTGCTACTGAGGACTGTTAACCATGGACTCCTGTCTATTCCAGTCTCTGACATTAGTCAGAGGCTAATAGCTAGGACTGACACCTTTACATTGAAAGTGATATTTGAAGGTGAGTCCTCAAAGGTAGAAATTTATCTCTGTTGTCTCCTGTCTTCCTGTCTCTCACCTCATTCTTTTTGGGGACAAGATATAGAAACTAGAATTCTTCTTCTCTAGGGAAGGCCACAGAAAACAGAACCCGTTTGCTCCAGTGCTGATCATAGATGCCGGAAAATATTACTCCTTTTCCTGAATTTCTGGGTAAAAGTTGTCTATGGTGATATTCTCTAATCTACGTTGTTTGATAGTAGATTATGATGCTTCCATTCTAGAATTCATTTTGTTCTTTACCCAGGATGTGCAGAGGTCAAGAACTGAGAAGATGGGACATCTTGTTCAATCACAGTCTTTGATGGTCTCTATGCTTCATCAAACCTAAGAATAAGTTCATTCAGGGTAAATCCCTGTCTTTGTGCTCTACATCTTAAGGCTCTCTGGTCATACAAAACCATAACTAAATAAATCTGTTAAGACTTTCTCCTGTTAATCTGCCTGTTGTGTATTTATTTAAGCAAAGTCAAATATGTAGCCTCTTAGAGGGAACGTTTGAAGTTCCCTGCAGTTTGAGACCAGGAACCCTGATAAGCGTGTTGCTTAAGTGTACGGTGCCTCCTCATCCACACGCTCAGATCCCCTATGTTTCATCTCCTTCCAGAATTTCCTGTTAGAAAAATCGTCTGTTGACCCCTTGGCATAGCTCTCTTGGTCCCCTGCCTGTAAAGAACTTAGGTGATGTTTATCCTTGGTGCTTCAGCCTCAGGTCCTGTTGACGACTTTGGGGGTGGAGGTTGCTTCTTCATCTTGTCCTGCAGTCTTCTTCTGCCCATTCTCCTCTACCCAGAGCTGAACTCTACACTTTATCCTCAGAGCTCAGGTTCCATATCATCCAAGTCAAGTAACTCTTTTGGAAAAGGACACCAAGTTTGAGTTTAAATGCATGTCTCTAGGAATCATGCTCAAAGGTAGAAACTGAACTCTTTGTTCTGATCTAACATTTCCCCATTCTCCTTGCAGGTGGTTCTGAGAGGAGACAAGTCTCTCTGAAAGATGGAGAGAGGGACCACAGCTAGAGAAGCCTGGGAGCTGCCTTCTTGTAATAGCTAAAGATGCCATCTCACTACATTTTACTTTTAAAGTTCTGTTACATTTTTATTAATTTTTTCTGGAGGGCTTATTAAAATTTGAAGATTATGGTATAAAATTATTAAGGATGACTTTATAGATGGTAACACATTTTAGAATCCAGATATTAGACTCAATCAAAGGAAACTTGGTCCCTGATGAGACACATTTGTAGAAAATCAGCCTATGACCCACACAGTGTAGAGAGAAGCCTTGTCCTTGCCAGCTGCTTTGGTTTTCCCATCCAGTTGCCTGGGCTCTGCTGCGTTGTAGTCCCCAAATAATATACAAGACACTGTATTAATTGTGAAGCTGTTGGCCTTGCTTGTTTCTCATTGGCTAGCTCTGACTTAAGTATTTACTCCATAATTGTTAATCTAAGTATTTCTCTTACCGGAGAAAAGAGTCCTGACTTCTTACCCCTACAGCAGCTACAGGATGACTCCCTGTGTTTCTCCTTCCCAGAGTCCTCCTGGACTCCTAGTCCCACCTATCTTGCTTCCCTATTGGCCAACAGTGCTTTATTAACATATATACAAGAATTCCCTATCACACACAGTCTGCATGAAGGAACTCGTGTGTCTATTCCCTCTACTGTGCCTTTCCTGCACCCCAGCCTGGCACTCCTTGGCTGCTGCTGTCCTTCTGACTGAGTGTCTCTCATCTCCCCTCCCCCAGCATAAGCCTCTGGGGTAAGGAAGTAAAGGGAAACATGAAGGCAGGGGAATGGATAGAGTTGTGCAAGGGAAGGCTGGTGGCTGCCAGTAGAACTAATGCACCATTCTTTGCGTCTGCTTCCTGTGGCTTGCAGCCTCGTTATGGCGGACTTGGAATGATTTTCACACGGGGTGGGAAAATAGCTTTGGGAAGTGTTAGAGCTGAAAAGAGGAGGTTAGGTCTGATCCTGGATGCAAAAGGGGTGGGCTTGGCTGTGGTCTCAGTCCAGCTTGGATGGAGCCTGCTCTTCTCTCTGCAGGAGTGCCTGGGCTGAGCTTGCAGCCTATGTTATGAGGGTGGATCAGGCAGGAGACCATGGCAGGTGGCTTGATTTGTGAAGAGTAAGCTCGGCCGTAGACAGAGAGAACTGGGCAACAAGACTGGGTGTCAGCAACATCCATCAGTGTTCTTTGTATCCTGGGCTTCTATATACAGTCCGGCTGCCATTGTAAGGCTTGACAAACACCAGAGCTCAGACTTTGCAATTCAGTGGCTCTCAAAAGAGGCTGGGCTGAACTCAGTGCTGACCCTTCTGTCTTTGTTGGCTAGCTGCCAGGTCCATCCAAAGAAGGAGATATATGTCAGGCAAGCTTTGAGTCTCTCCTATGTCCTAGCTGGTAGAAAGAGCAGAGATGTAGGCATCAGTGTTCTGGTCTTCAGCAGTGAGCCCAGGACTTCCTAATGTGTTGCCTTGGGGTAGCGTTATAGTTCATTGACCTTCAGTGTTCTAACCTGTGCAAAAGACTTAATGATACTGTCCTCATACCAGAGTTGTGATAATGGGATTAGTTGCCAATTAACCAGTTGTAGCATTAGTCTGAAACAAGTTGGTGTTTTACATAACCATTTGTGTCCCCTCTTCCTGTTCCACAGTGAAATGTTTCTGGATTGGGTAGAGACATCACAGAAGGACCTGCTGTTCTGAATACAATCTAGGAGCCTAGTCTCCCATGCTCACATGCTTACATTTAAAGGGGGATATTTTTTAACCAGAATGTTCTGTGCTTTTGACTTCTTATATAGAGTTGTTTATGGCACTTGAGATTTGTGACAGAAGATGAAGGTCTTGTGTCCTACCCTGCTCTATTCTTTAGACTGCATTAACATGACCAGGACTCTTGGGTTACCTGGTGCCAGCCCCTCAGGCAGACCCCAGGATGGACAAAGGATCCTTTGAAATTCTGGCCTCGGAATGATAAGGCAGAAGTACCAGCTCTTGCTGGAATTCAAATGTCTGTAAGGAAGCCCCAAGAATCAGAAGAGGCTGGCTAGTTCATCCTTCCCAGAGCTGTGTCCCACTGAAGCAGACTTTCAGCTCTACATTAGCTGCTGCCTGAAGATCAGGCTCCCCGAAAGCAGCTTTACTGCTTCAGAAAATGATTTATTCTGCAAAGTTAATGATCTGGAACGATAGATTGGCCTTGGTCAAAAATCAATTTTTATTATTTGGTGAAGGGCTGGATAAAGTCTCCCTTTCATTATCGGGCCCACAGACGGCAATCCCAAATTATGCCTTTCCAAGGACAAAGCTGCCTTTGGATTGGGGTTCAGGCACGTTCACGAGTTTTTTCCTTTCATTAGTTCCTAAAGCTTAAATCCATACCTGGTGATGACATGTGTAACTCTCACTTAAAATAAATCAGCGGCGTTTGGCTCCCACCTATGGTGGGTACTCCTGGGTGCGAGTCAGAGAGAATGGTTATTAAGCGCTTGTTTGTTTGCTCTGTGCTGCCCAGAACGGAGCAGGTGGCTGTGAGTATTCGCAGCCACTCATGGCCCTGGTGCTTGTAACAGGGCTGGAACTAGTCCCAGGCCTCTCACAACCACAATTCACTGGGCTTTCACAACAGGGGAAAGGAGGAGGTGGCATTGTGTGGCTTCTAATTTAACAGAGATCAGAGGCAGGAGAGGACAGTTGGATGCAGCCATGGCAGCGCCACACAGCATCTTGTTTCTCAAGCCCCAGGTTCCTGTCTAGTCTTCTCCCTCACTGAGCAGCCCTGCCCCCTATTCTCACCGCGGGGCAGAAGTCCCATTGTCATTCCTGGGCAAGTTTGGCTTCACCACGGTCAGGGGTCTTTGGGATCTGCCAGCCTGCTTTTCTCCTAGCCCAACTTCTCAGTTGTCACGCCTCGCTTCTCAGCCACCTGATCTTCTGTGAAGAGACTTTTCATAGTCTTGTGTCTCATCCCCTTTGCCCTCTGCCTGGACTGGCCCTGCACATTAGCTGTGAGCATGCATCACCTGGTACACCCATGCTGCCTGTGTAGACCTGTGTGTGGGTCCCACAGTCATGACTACCTCCCTCCAAGGCTCTGAGCTTCTTGGGGATGGCTCTGACATTTCTGTGTCTCTAGGGCTCAGAGCAATGCCTGGCACACTCCTGGGAAGTTCTCTATAAACATTTACAGGAAGAACAAATGTATCTTTTAAGATACTTCCCTGGGGTTCTCATCACTGCTGATCTTGACCTCCTCTGGATTAAATTTTTTTTTTGTCCTCTCTGCTATTCCTTCTGCCTTAGATTATAGCAGCTGTGTAGAGCTATAGCTAGTCTCCTGGGTCACGTATGAGCTCTGTTCTTCCTGAAAGGGCTATCCTAAGAATAACTCAATACCCATGATGGTGTGTGCTCTTTTCTCTGAATTTCTCTAGGGAGAAGTGTCTACCCTATATTTGTGTGTGATCTAAGTGGCTTCCAGGAACTCAGTGTACATTTGCAGGAAGATAATTTTACTGTTAATGATCCACATGCTGGTTGCTGATTACATGCCTCAGCGAAGGCAAGGTCTCAGCCTCCCACTTGTGCTGAGAGGAAAGTCAGGTGAGCACCCCACCAGGTCATTCCTTGAGTCCTTTCTGGATGCAGCAGCTTGGAGGAGTTGCCACCATTCTCTCTCCCCTGCCCTCCTTTTGTGCCCTGATTTTCACTCAAGACACTGCACCATAGAGTTCTACACATAGCATGACTTCCCATGCATCCGAGTCTGGAATATGCTTCGGTCTTGCAAGTCAAAGAGGGTCCTGTGCCAGGAAGAAACAGCTCACATTGTACCATCTTCTTACCTTGCCCCTGGCAACCCAGTCTCTGTGTGGACACTCCTACATATGGCAACAATGAAAACAGCTTTTATTTGTAGTCACATTGTCCTTGAAGGCAAAGGCAGAAGATGGCATCAATAAAGCCAGCCTTCATGTATTCATCTTTTTCTTTTTTTCTTAGAAACTCATGTGCAATTAATTCAGCAAAGTCCTAAGTCAGGGAAGGAGTTTCTGTTGATGGAGAAGGAAGTGGGCATGACAGTGACCTTTTGACCTTTAGAAGTATTCCGTGAATCCTTTTAATTTGTTCACTTAAGTATTTTTTCTTTAGATCTGAGATCCATGAATGAGATTATGTGGTTTCTTTTCTTTTTCAGAGAAGAATGCCAATTGGCTCCTCCATAGATAGGAAGAGGGGCCACACAGGAATTGCTGAGGCTGATCAAGGAGGAGAAATGTATGCAAAGTCAAGGTTAGGTGCTGGATTTGCAGTGAGAGCAGAGTGTGGAAAGAGCTGGTTAACAGTATCTAAGTGGCTTTGTATTCCTGAGTAGGCTCCATTACCATGGTGGCTGCCCACTTCCTATGAACTGGTGACCTGCCTTGCAGCTCACTAAGACCTGTGGTCCTTAACTGTAGTTTGTCACGTTGACCATTGTACTTGTATCCTTGATAGCAACTACAGATTCTCTTTCAGTGTGAGTGTCCTTTTCTTTATCGCCACTGAGTCCTATTCCCATTCCTTCTGCCAACCTCCATTTACAATGGGGATGACCTGTTCTCTGTGATCACTTCCTGAGTGTCTATATCTTCTTCAACATGTACCTCATTGTCTGACTTTCCCCCAAATCTCATAATGTAGGTAACCCAAGGAACAATGTTGGCTAGAGATGGAGTGAAGATGTTGGCTGACCTAATAGCTACCATCCTACTCCTATTTCTGGCCAGTCATTTTCTATATAGTTTTTATATAGTGAGGCAAAAATGAGATACACCTCCAGCCTCTAGATTGGGGAATATTGATCAGAAAAGCTGGGGAGTGCATTAAATAGTTACTTCCTTTTATGGAAGATCATACTTTAGAAAAACATCTGCAACAGATGTTGTGAGTAGGAGTGCTAGAAATTGCTTCTCAAAACAAATTTAAACAAGAGGAAAAATTTTAGGTTAGATGAATATATATATGTATATATACATGGAATGGATCTTAACATGTATTTGTATTTAGAAGTATTTTTGCATATATTAATGTTTTGAGGGAAAGAAAATTAAGATATGTTAATTTTGCTGTCTCTGACAAATATAGCTAGGTAAA